GTAGTCAACGTTGTCATCGAAACTATTACTCTTAACATATAACCTGCCGTGTACCCTGTTGTGCAGTATGTGTCCGATCGTTGTGCAAGATGTCACTCTGAGCTTATTTGGGTCGACCCTATTCCGAATTGGGTCAGATTTCGATTTGGGTCAGAACACAATGATCATTTTCTCAGTTAATGTCACATGAGTGCAAGTTAAAATTTCTGACGAGACGTGGCACACTACCACACCAGCCTCAAGCTCAGTGTTTAGAAAAATGAGAACGCGTTTTTTTTCAGAATGTTCAGACTGGAGTCTTATAAGCTATTTAAACTTCCGTCGGATGGAAGACAATTGGTCAGCAGATAAGCAGAAAGAACATGGCACATATTCTAAAACGTTAATCAAGATTGCGGACGGTGAATCAAGCAAATACCGATCTATGGCAATTTCTGCTTTAAAAAATTTACCATTTAAGTAAAATGTTTTATTTCTGCAAGGGAAGGTGGGCTTGGAGGCTTGCAGGCATCCAAGTTGACTATCGTGTTATACCACATCACAACGGCTCGATAATCTGACCAAGTCGTTGAGTAACTATCGTGTTCGATGCTGGCCACCTTTCCTGTTATCACGTCACAGCGCTCAACAATCTGAAAATGTCTATCCGTATTCGATATGACTTTTCTAGGCTGAGTCGCTGATGAACTATCGCGTTCGATGTGTTAAATATTGTACTTGCTGAAGTCAAGTCAATATAATACTATTAAGCGAGTTATGACGATTAACAATTTTTCTTCATAAAAAGGAAATAGTAAATACCCGAGCGGTTAATGGTTTCTGGCAAAATGAGGAGAAGTTAAATAGGCGTAATGAGATTGAGAATTCAAAGGTGTGCTGACAAACCTTATTTCTGCTGTTTCATACAATGAGGGAAAACACCAGTAATATTTATCCTCTTTCTAGGAAAAATATCTTGATTATCTTGAAAAATCTACCTATGAAGTACTAGATGATACCAGATTATACAGTGGGTAGACAAAAGTCTCCGGACAGTTTTGTACTTAAATTTTCTCGAAAACTTACATAATAATTGGGCAT